TAGCCTTGTGAATTTTATAGCTTCATCTAAATTGGAACTGGAAATTATGAAAATGTTTGGCATAAAATCAAAAAAACGTATTTTGCATTCTATATAATAAGTTATACCGCAAATTACGGTCTTATTAATAAAAATCGACATTCATTTAATGCTTAACGTTACTTTCTCTCTTTTCACTAAATTACAATAGAAAAAGACAAGTATAGAAATAACTAATACTTATTTTAAGTACATAATATGTTAAACGAAATAAAGATATTACGACTTCTTCAAACAATGACTTTAAACTCAAATACATTTTCACTAATAGCTTAACCGACAGTAGACTATTGGTTAAGGAAACGAACTGCGTCGTGGCTTCGAATCTACTATGAAATTTTTATCGTGAACAACTAGCATCAACATTTTAGCTCAAGTTTTGTGGTTAATGATAAAATTATTAACGTTGAAAGAATTCTTTTTGCGAAAATATAAACTTATTACGGGCCGGAGTGGTATAGTTCGTGCCAAATCCATTGAGGAAAACGGACATTGACCTTTCGGTCGTCTAACCAGGGGCCACAAACCTTCAATATATATGCACTTTTTATATGTAGTCCTTTCTTTATTTATAATGATTTTTATTAGTTTTTTTATAATTATTGAGATAATATATAACTATTAACTATTATTAAAAAGTTATGTAAAAGATCGCTGTAGAAGAAAAATCATCTATTTTTATAAAGTATTTTATTCATTTAACAACAAAAAGCATTAATTTATTCCAGTGATAACGACACCGATTAAGTAAGTACCTATTCAAAATATAAAACTTTATTTTCAATATTATATAAGAACTTTATTTTTATTCGGTGCATGCGGGCCGGCCCAAAAAAGTGACGCATCTCTGACTGCCATTGCCACGTTTCTTTTAGAACGAACTGACGTAACGCGCGTTTTGTTTATTTTAAAGGGATGAATTTGCAAATGCTCAATATGGTGATTATATTGCTTCACATATTTTTTTATATGAAACTATTATTAAATGAATTGCTGCGTTACTTACCATAAATTGAAATATAAAATATAACACATTTTTCGGGATGTACTGTAAGATTTTACTATGTTTATAGGAACCACAGACAATATTATTTAAGAAACAAAAAAAACAAAACATATGTGCAGAACTAGAAGTGAGAATAATATCAATATTTAAATATTGTTTTTCTCAATCGATTTGGCACGAACTATAGTGACAAATAAATAATGATAGATAATAAGACCATATGAATATCACAAATCCACCATCCTACTTCGTGCTATTTCGTACGAGATAAGCCAGACTGATATTGTGACTTGTAATAAATGATATAATAAGATGATTTTGATGCCATGTAGGGGCGGTGTAAAAATACCCACTACCCCATATCGTGCCATGAGTGTCGTAAGAGGCGACAGAGGGAAATTCAAACATGTCATACAGCAGTAGCAGCTCAACAACTCGTAATAATAAAAACTGCGGTTGGCAATCCGCTTGCCAGGCGTGCCAACTATGGCAAAATAAAGCAAGAGGCAATCTATGAGGGAAGCTTTTTTCAGCAGTGTACTTTTAAGGGCTGTAATGTAATGAAATGGAATGGATATACCCACCATGTTTACACCAGACGTAAAATACTCATACTCGTGACGCGTAGTAGTATCAAAGGAGACACCTTCACCCTATATTGCAATCGTCAATCTACCTGTCGAGCCTGTTAAGCAATTCCAACATCAGGAGAGGCTCATATTAAGCAATAGACTTTAAGCTGATAAAAAAGATGAAGAAGTTTAAGCTTCTTTGAGATGTAGCAATTGCAGCCAACCTTTCCAACGGAAAGAGGCTTAGGATTGCTTTTACTTTATTATATATTATTATATATATATATATATATATATATATATATATATATATATATATTAATTTGCTTAGGATTGCTTTAAAGATATCGCAATGATGATATAACAATATTATTCAGATGATTAAATACATTTGCCATGTAGCGGCGGCATAGTAGAATACATCATCTCATATCTTCCCGTATGTAGCAACAGAGGAGAACTGACAATTTAAAATAATAAAAATTGCGCTTACCTACTCACCTTCCAGCGTGTCAACTATAGAATACTATAATACACAATAGAATGGATGTCAACCTTATTTTGTACGAGGTTCGGCGTCGCCGGGAACACACATACAAGCAATTACGTCGTGATAATTCACTACTATAAAACCGTTTCGCTGTGTTGACAGACTGAGTAAATTTACACATTTTAGACTTTTGATTAATGTCCAAGATCATCATTTAAAAAAATCGTTTAAATTTAATACATATTTATCTGTAGTTGGCATTTTCTAAATAGTTTGCATGCGAAATTTGGAAACGATTGTAACGTAAAAACACATCACTTTTTTTGTTTTTTGACATTTTAGTGGCTACACGGGAGCCCGTGTAGCCCAATCCCCCGTTCTAATATATATGTATTATATTACTCCAAGGTGTCAACTAAAGCAAAAATCTATGGGAGAGACCTACGAGACTTCGATAGTCTGTATTAATGATGATGATAGTGATGACTGTATAAAAATAATAAAAAAATAATTATCTAATAAGCTTAATGACAGATGACACAATCTCATTGGAAATGTTTCATTTGGAACTCAATCCAACTCCCAACACAAACGAGCGACAGGATCAACAAATGGATCTAATCACATTGGCAAATCGAATTACTATTTTACAGGGTTGCCACTTTTACGAGTTCAGATACATAATGTTAATGTGCGCCAAAGCAAATCAAATAAAACAATTTATAAAACAGCTAAAAAATCGGAGGCAACTATTTTAACCTGTTGTGTTATGATAAATTCAGCTAAAAGTAAAAATCTAAAAAAATAAACAATTCATAAAATGAAATTTAATATCGTTGGTAAAAGAATTGGGCATCGTCGGCAGCAGAAGAAAATGGGCAGTGGGCAGCAGAACCTTTTTTCTAATATCATTTATAAAATTTAAAAAAAACTGACTTTGATAGGCTGTAATGGTTATGAAAACTAAAAGTGCATATCTATAATGTTTCGTATACATGAAATGTACCTGTAGCTCGAAAACCGACAACCGATGGGGATGAAAAATGCTCGAGTGGCAGTATCGGTGAGCGAAGTGTTGCGCGCCCACCACTAGATGGAATGACCCAGTAAGAAATGCAGGTAGTTGATGGATACAAGTGGCTCAAGACCGTTCTTTGTGGCGTTCCTTGGTTCCTGTGTTCAGCAGTTACTAGTGATGAGCTGTAAAGACAATGATGATAATAATTCAAGAATCGTAATAACAACTATCGTGTGGGGTGTAAATTAAAAGCTCTTTAAACTACAATTTCGTAAATATATATTCTATTTTTATATATATGTACGTAAACAAAAATCGGAATGAATTTTTGAACATTGGAGGAATAGCTAAAATTTTTAGTAAACAATTTGATTACGTGATGGCACGTAACATATATTGCGTATCATTAGTATTTGACGTATAAATAGCATTCACAAAAATTGCTTTTTAATCTGTAATATAAAGAGCAAGGATTTTCGCAAGATAAATCCCAGTTCCTTTAACAGTTCATAAAACATTCTTCAGTTCTTTTTTACTTTTACTTCGGCCGTTCAAAGGATTTTTAGTAATATTCGGTCGATTTTTGTGGTTCCTTATTTATTTTAAGTAAACAGAAGTGACCATACGCTAAAACTTTGTCCTGTATATAATAATGCCATCGAAAACGTTAGTTTTTGATGGCATGCCATTTCTTTTTGTAGATAGTCCTAGTTTTTTTTTCCTTTCCGGTACCTTCTACTTCTTAAATACCAGAAACGTTCCTATCTACAACTATTACATATCGAGCCTTTTCAGGAAGAACATCGTAAGCGCCAAAATTCCCAAAAAACGGTTTTAATTACTAACCGCCAGATCAACTGATTTTGAATCTTTTTGTCACTTACTTGAGTTCAAAGTAGAAATGGTAATTAACTTTTTTTAATTACGAAATTTTCATCGTAAGTTACAACCCATTCAATTTTTTTAACGTAACCTCCACCGACTGACAGATCGTTAGTATAGTACCTGTCGCTTACGATATAATATTAGGTTAATAATTTTATTGCAAACATCCTACTTGGCACTTACGATAATAAATTATGCAACGTAAGTGAAATACTTGTCGCTTGCGATAGAAATAAAATGCGTTTTGCGTTTAGTTGTTCCTGAACTGTAACATTATAATAGTGTAATAAATTAAAATATGAATGCCATTAACTTTGGTAACTATAGTAGAAAACTAACCTTGACTTTAGGTTAGTAATAGAATTAACGAAACTGCTTATTATTTTATGTTTAAAAGCTCCGATCAAAGAAATAGTTTAAAAGAATCAACCTAATAGTTTAATAGTGAATCAAAACGCACTTGTAGAAGTAGTGTAGCATCAAGACAGGTTTCAACGTGTTTTAAATTTGAAGATTTTCGTCACTGTGTTATACCTTCTTCACTTACGTTACGAATATTTTGAAAATTAACTATTCCTAATGTGTATTTGCTTAAACTGAGTGTTCAAGTAAAAAAACACGTATTATCGAACGACAAGGTAAGTGAAACGTGAAACTAAATTACCTACTTGAATCGTGTGATGTGAACAAAAATAATTAGGTGGGCGGTATTTTAGCACTAGAGACTTAAGTAAAATAATATAGGTACTAATTATTTTTCTGGGTTTGATTAAATGCATTGACTTCATAAATAAGTTAAATTACCTACTGGATGTTATTAAGTTTGATGACAAGTTGTATCATTTCAATTAAATACGTTATGAGTGGTTATGCCTAAATCTTAAATTTCCTTTACAGTTTTTTATCTTTTTTCGTGCTTTAACTTTTGTTTGGGTGGCGGTGATTTGGATTTGTATAGCGTTTTTATTTCGCTTCCAGAAAATTGAGGAGATGGCTGAACTTATACCATCCAATGCTTTAGTTGACTACTCTGATTCTACACATTGCTCGTCTACCGACCAAAACTCTGAAGTAGAAAAGGATTTTAGTGGATGTGACTCTGACCAGTATTGGCATATTCCTATCAGAAGAAAAAAGAAAAGGCTAGTATTTACAAGTATGGACGACTACACTTGCCAATCCACGTCTGCTATTCAAATTCCTACGACGATAATTGAAAGTTCGGACTCAACCAAAGAAAGTTCTGATAGCACAGAAGAGGAAGACTCAGGTATCGTTGGTAAAAAGGGTATGCGGAAGAAACGACCACTACCGAAAAAACTAAAAGAAGGGTCTGAGAGGTGGTCTAGAAAAAGGAAAATCTGTCAAAGCTAATCCCTGCTTAGGTAAAAAATGCGGGAATGACTGCGCTAATAAGTTTACTGAAATCGAGAGAAACTGCGTCCATGAACTCTATTGGGGTCTTGGATCCTTACAAAGACAAAGAGATTTTATTTTATCTTGTATTAAGGAATGTGAAATCGGTCGAAAAAGAGCAGAAAGTGATCGTCGAAAAATAAGTTACAATTATTACTTACCAAAGGGCACTGAATCGGTTAAAATTTGTCAACAGTTTCTTTTGAAAACCCTTGATATTTCGCAAATGACACTGCGTTGCACTAAATCACATAAAATTGCAAGTTTTTGTCAAAACCTGACCAACGCGGCAAACGAACGCCTTTAAATAAATACAGTCAATCTCAAACTCAAAACGTCAATAATTTTATAAAAAAGTTACCTGGCGTTCAATCACACTATTGCAGAAACAAAAGTAACAAATTGTACTTACCAACTGAATTTAGGGATGTGACCTATTTATATAGAAACTTTTATTTGAAAGACGATGATACGAAAGAGTTAGGCGCAGTAAGTTATCAGAAGTTTAGAAAAATATTTAAGACTGAATTTAACTTAGGGTTTCACTTACAAAAGAAAGATAAATGTGATCAATGTGAGAGAATACAGAATTTAAACGATGAAGAAAGAAAAAAAGCGATAGAATCAGATGCTTACAAGAATCACATTAAGGACAAAGAAACATCATTAAAGCTATTTCTAGAGGATCAAAAAAGAAGCAAAGATAACGGAAACTTTTTGTGTGCAAGCTTTGATCTTGAAAAGGTCTTAACAACACCTCGCGGTCAAAGTGTAAATTTCTACTATACTCGAAAGCTTGCCTATTATAATGAAAGCATTTATGAAAGCGGTACCAGATCTGTATTTTGTTATCTTTGGAACGAAACGGAAGCGAAAAAGAGGGTGTAATGAAATCTGTACTATTATCTTTAAATACCTTAAAATGGTTGACGAGAGAAGGACCCAAAATGAAGTTGCATTATACTGTGACAGTTGCGCAGGACAAAATAAAAATAAAGCCAGGATTGTAATGCTCTATTATTTCATGCAATATCATGCGAGTTTTGTTGAAAGGCTGACTATAAACTTCCTCATTCCTGGACATACCATGATGCCAGTAGACTCTGTGCATGCAACAATAGAAGGATTTATACAGAAAAGAACTATTTACGCACCATCTGAATGGCAAACTTTGATTGGAAATGCTCGGACAAATCCCAAAAAATATGAGACAATTCTTTTAAAAAATAATGAAATTAAAGATTGGAATTCCTATGCAACAGCCTTTTTACCAAACAAAATTAAAATACAAACAAGCAAGCTGCGTAACGCTAGATTTGAAAAAGGCGACAAGTTCTATCTTAAATACGACTATGATGGACCCGAACAAGCTATTGATGTGTCTCTTATATTGAGGTCTCGGCAGAATCAACAAGCTATTCGTGAACCTAAAACTGCTTACACTGAAAAACTTCCCATCTCGAAGGCGAAATACGAAGATTTAAAGAAAATGTGCGAAAAGGGTATCATACCAGAATTTTATACAAAAGAATATCTGGATTTGCCCTGCGATAGAAACATAAGAGACGCTTTACCTGAGACTGATGAAGACGAGGACTGATGACTCTTTTTGTATTTCATTTTATTAATAAAGCTCAAATTCACTTAGAAGTACCTACAATTTTTTTTTTACTTTTTTGTATTTCTGACTCTTTGTCCTTCTCTGCCTGGCATGGTATCTCGTAAAAACAGTTAAAAAAAATAATAATGTTATTTTAGAAATATTATATAATAGAAATATTATTTCTACTATTTTATGATATTTAAGAATTATCGTAATCGACATACTCATATCAGCTCTACATAATAACGGTCATCAGTTTTAACGTAAGCGACAAATGTATGTGATTTTATAGCACTAAGTCAAATCTTAACATTTGAATTAATAGGGAGGTGCCCATATAACACCAAGTAAATATTTCAAATTGATGCTGTAAATAATTTGAGAAATATTTAAAAAAAACGTTCTCCTGTAAAATATGCAAAATGGCGGTTACGATCTTCTTCCTGAAAAGGCTCGATATATACAAGTAATCTGATTCATTCACTGCAAATGTAACTTTGTAATTCTATATATTAAGGAAAGATGTTTTCATTAAGGAGGAGGGATTAAGTTATTTATGGAGTTAGTGTATCTAGAAAACTATACCGAAATTAAAAAATATTTTAGTATTTCCTTGATTTATACACTAAATACTAATTGTATTCTAAATTTGAAGCTTCTATGTCTGCTAGAAATGCCTTAGGGTTTTGATGATCGGTCAGTCAGTGATTGACAAAATTAGGAAACTTTGACTAGTTATAATTCTTGAACTACTGTTTCAAATTGAATGAAATTTGAAATATACCATGTTTATACAATGCCTACTCGGTCACTGATATTAAAATGAATATATAATAATTAAATTCAGACTTCTAGTTTTATCGACAACGAAGTTATAGGGGGTCGAAAATGACGTGAATTGCTTCGAGAAAAGTATGGTATGGCCGTGCCGCTGTTTTGCTCGACTTGGCGATAAATGTATAATCGCTAATTGCAACAACGAATACTTTTAAGAAATCAATTACGAACCATAACATTTTTTTCCCTTGTTACAGTAGCCTTCCTTCCTTATAATTTTGTATAAAATGCTTTTTTATATATGATAGGGTGACAAACGAGCACACAGTCCACCTGATGGTAAGTGGTTGCTGTGGCCCATAGACATTTACATCTATCCTCGATTACGAATCAAAATGCAGATGCGTGGTCACCCGTGAGGACTAAGATGGAATGCCTCGTTTCCAGTAAAAAGGGTCACCGGTTCTCTATACTCACCACACGAAACACAGCAGCAATTTTACGCTGGTATTCCATGAGACATATGTCCTTCCCCGGTCGAGTCGATCCACTCGTGCTACAACTATACTACTAATAGTATAACAGCAGCATGGCTCTACCATGTTATAAATATACTCTAGATATACTGCTAAATATATTATACCTACTCGTATATACACCCTTTCTAGTATGCGGGAACTAGCGTTCAACCTTGATATATTTGTCCACATTGCGCTGGGCAAGCTCTGATTAGTAACGTTATTCTCTAACGTCTTCATGAGTACCTAATCTGCATCTTTTCTGATAGTCCCAGTGTATATGAAGTTTGTGAAGACTGTATAAATACTAAGTATTAGCAGTAATTTTTCCGTAATTTGTAATATTAGATTTATTGTCAAATTTTTGTAAGAAAAAAAAACAATTTTTGTGATAATTTACGGAATTCATCCGCATAAACAAAGCTGATGATTTAAGATATTTTTTCGTAGAGCTCTAGTGATTTATGTTTAAAAATTCTTAAAATATAAAAAATTATAAAAGTAATGCATTTTATTTCTAAAAGAAATCCACATAAATAAAATTAATAGATTCATTTTGGTAGAAACACAATATTTACAATAATAATCGCACTAGAAAATCATGCGCCTCTGGAGCGTATGGTTATCTTTTACGTACGTTGTCATATGGTTATCTTTCTAGGGTTAATTATATAGTCTCCCGTTAATGTAGGATAATCACAAATGCGGAAAAGTGGCAACATTGAACCTAAATGGCAATATCCGATAATTTTATTTAATTATTTGATGTTTTTACGTTTATATGAAAACAAGAACTAAAAATTATGTATTGAAAGTGATTCCGCTTGATTTATTACGTTTTTGTGACCTTGAATAGCATTCTTTCACTACGCATTTACCCATTTTTTGTCGCGGCTCAACTCTGTCGGCGTCACATTGAACACTGAACTGACGTTAGCTAGGCATATGGCTGTGGCCATATGTGCAGTGGCAACGCTTTGGCGCGGTAATTACAAACACACTGTCGAATTGAATACGCACACATTGCACATACGCATCCTTTTTTTGAAGTCGGTTGAAAAGTGCATCATTGAATATTTTTAAAAATAATAGTGTAAAAATGCAATTCTTTAAGCTTCTTAGGATTAAATAAAACATTAACAGTGGACCCTTAGATCCACACGTAACAAAAATGTTCATATTTACATACATAAGCCGATAAAGCCCTCTTAAGGAACTATCAGAATATAATGATGATTTCTTTTTCAGACAAATCTTTGATTATACAGATTTACTAATTTTGATCCCATTTGAACAAACCATCGCTTTATCTTTAGTTTATTTGGGTATAGCACACGGCACCTAACACAGTGCCAGTGAACACAAAAGTATTCATATTGCAATGGTAACATTCGAAATGAAACTAAGTATGACGTAGGGACGCTCATCTACATGTTTAAAACATAGACTTAGAATACAGTGGAATCTCTATAACTCGAATGTCAAGGGAAATGCAAAAAAATTAGAGAGTTAACGAGATTTCGACTTAACAAGAACTTCGAGAAGCGTGATTTCTAAGTATATTTTTCGATTTGTAAAGTTTTGTAGTATATTTTTTATTATTAAAATAAAATTTTAATGAAGTTAACTGTACACTAAAAATTATCTTCTTTTGATTTAAACTATTTGCAGATTTTTTATCAATTATTTTTTTCAAGCTCAGCCAAAGCCAAAATAAATACTGACGGACAAGCTGCGCTAAAAGTTATCGTATCCTGTGTTGACAAAGAACAAACATAACGTTCACAACTGTGTTACTTAGAAAGTTTTATGGATGTATTCATTCATTGCACGTGTTTAAGACAAAAACAATAGATTAGAAACCCCGAAACCGAACATTCATGTTGGATTTTATTGCTATTATTTCAGGGAAATCCAAGTAAGACGTCATTATATTTTACTAATTATAACTTACGGAGTATCCTTTTTGAAATTCGAGTTATAGACTACAAATATGTATTATTAATACTTCGTAGGGAAATAACATTTTGTTCGAGTTACAAAGTACAGTTACAAAATAA